AAATGTTGCAGATATTGCTGCCCAAAATTTCATTGAGAAAGTTAACCAGTCCATAGAAAAAGCTACAGATCACAAAACAGTTTACTATATTAACAACAGAAAACTTTAACCATGGATTACTATAGGTCTTATCTCAGCAATTAAAAAACGAGATAAAATGAAAAAAATACTCTAAAACAAGAACAGTCCGCAAGCTAAAGAGGATTACATTAATTATAGAAATAATCTGAACAAAATTATTAATAAACAGAAATTTAATTACTATAAAACACAAATAGATTTAAATCAACATAATTTTAAAAAAATATATAATATAATATCAGACGCAGTAAATGAAAATAAGGTATATTCTGAGAAATTAGAAATAAGGGATGAAAGTGACAAATTGTTTGTAGATGAAAAGCAAATGGCTGAATATTGTAATGTTTTTTTTATTGACATAGGCAGAAAAATGGCTAATAAAGTGAAACCACCGACTGTTGCTTCTCGAATAGAATACAACGCATTAAGCTCTATGTTCTTAAAACCTGTTGATAAAATCGAAATAATTAAACATATCAATTCCCTAAAAAATAATTGTTCCCCTGGCTGTGATGGAATACAAACTAAAATGATAAAAAGATATTATAAGTATTTTATTGACCCATTGGCACATATAATAAACCTAATATTTACAACAGGATCTGTGCCCGAATGTTTTAAAACTTCTATTGTTACTCCCATTTTCAAAGCGGGTGACAAAAAAAAAATAACAAATTATCGGCCTATCAGTGTTAACACAAATTTTGCAAAAATATTTGAAAAATGCCTCAAAGAGAGGCTGTGTAATTTTTTATAAATGAATAACATTCTATCAGAAAATCAATATGGGTTTCGAAATGGTATAAGCACTGTTGATGCTATTCTCAGGCTCACAAGAGCAATCACAAAACCCCTTGATAGTGGTAAAAAATGTCTAACTGCTTTTCTTGATCTTGCGAAGGCCTTTGACACAGTGCCTCATGACTCTCTTATTGATGTTTTAAACATTTATGGGGTCAGAGGTGTTGTGTTGGGTGTCTTTGCGAGCTATTTGACAGGTCGAAAGCAATTGACAAAAATTAATAATGTATTAAGCAATAGTTCGGAGGTTCTGATTGGCATTCCTCAAGGAACAGTTATGGGCCCTTTGCTTTTCTCATTGTACATTAACTCCTTGACTAATATTCCGATAGATAATGGCATGGTGATATCCTACGCGGATGACACCGCTGTGATTTTTACAGGAGAAACATGGGAAGAAGTATATACACATGCCTCTCATGGGCTATATAATATAAAAAAATTGGCTTGATACTTTTAAACTCACTTTGAATGTTGATAAAACTAACTATATAGCTTTCTCCCTAACAATGGCAAATCGCCCCAATTTTGATGGCATTAGGGTAGACGGATTTGAAAGAGAAATTAGAGAGGTGCAACATACTAAATATTTACAAGTAATTATTGATCAGAACCTCAAATGGAAGCAACATGTGGCTAGGTCGACTAGTAATATTAGAAAATTAATTCGTAAATTTTATATGATAAAAGGACTATTAAACGAACATCTTTTAATCTGTGTTTATAGAGCTCTGGTAGAATCTCTCTTGAGATACGCTATGATTGTATGGGGAAGTTCATATGAAAATGCACTAAAACCTCTGAGAACAGTCCAAAATTATATTCTCAAGATTATATTTGGAAAAGATAAAATGTTTCCCACCTGTCAACTTTATAGTAATAAAATCCTCTCCGTAAGGTGTTTGTATGTGTTGAGTGTCTGTTCTTATATGTATCAAAATGTCAAAATAGTGGGAGAACATGTCAGTCACTCCTACTCCACCAGGTCCAATGTTGTAAGAGACCTACAGATACCTAACAGTGCCACTAATTTAAATATAAGATCTATTGAATATCTTGGTGTTAAAATCTACAACATCCTACCAGTGGAACTCAGAAGGATGACAGTTAACAAAAAAAAAATTATGCATAACTGTAGAGACTTCATATATAGTAACTTTGTCAAGTTTTCATCTTTGTTTTAACCTTTTAATCAATCAGGCGCAGAATTCTTTCCCTTTTTTTTTCTTTCTCTTTTGTAATGGCGTACACTAAAAATTTTTGATTATATTTAATTAGTATTTAAGCAGATATTTTTAGTTAGAAATTGTTCCTTTATATACCAGGGGCGCTCAAAAACTATGGCTATTACTAAGCTAAATGAGTCAATGACCAAAAATGTTCAAAAGTGTGAAAAATTGTGTACTTGTAGGTACTCAGGTATCTACGTTTTGTGATAAAAGTATCTTTCTAACCCAATGAATTCCAGTTCTCGCTACGCTTGTGCTAAAAACTTTTTGCCTCATGATCCCTTGGTCTAGGGTTTAAGTGTTTAGTTATTAGGTATACATACACTTGGTGATTTGTTTGAAAAATCTAAACAGCCATGGGAAGAAAAGTAATGAAAATTGTTTTTTCATATGTCATATTTCACTTGGTAACCATGGAAACCAAAATAGTGACCCTGTCAATAAAGCGAATTGTCTTTTTTGTCACCTTTCTTGTGAAAATGGCAATTCGGGAAAGGTAATGTGCTACGTGTGCAATGAAGGACTAGAGTAAGAGTAAATCGCACTGTTTTATTACTGAAAGATGCCGAAGTCCGTAGATTGGCTGTAAAGCGTCGAAACGAGTTAGGATTTGAGGATGAAAATCTTATTGTTGAGAACTTAAGGTGGATTTTGACATTGAAAACTTTGAAACATAAACAATAACGCTTGGCCCTGATTGGTCGGAAAATGAGGTGTCCCTGCAGGTTGTAATCAGTTTTACAATGCATTAGGTGCAAATGGCATCTTGCGACCAATAAGCGGCATTGTTTATGTTTCAAAGTTGACAGTGTCAAGTCAAAATCTTTCTTGGGAAAAAATACAGTATATAGTTTGTCATACTTCTATTTGTGTTTGTTTTAAAAACATACAAAGGCCCACCAAACAAGTACTTTTCAAAATACCCTCGTACATTCACATATAGGGTGTTCCGAAACTATTGTGCCAAAAATTAAGGGATGATAGATCGCGCCAAAATAAACGTTTTTTACTTATAAACACATAGGGGCATGCGCTTTGGTTATGTGATAATAGAACATTACAGGTCGCGCTGTGGTAGTCACCTTACACACGGAGAAACGTGTTTGAAGTAGAAACTGTGTTATTAAATGATGCAAATCCCAAAGAATACTTGCAGTATTTACTAAAAACAATGATTCACAGCAAAAGATGCTCAAAGCTACGACCACCCACCTCCATACGTGCGTGACAGCGCCGTAGCATAGCTTCCTGGACGTTGTTGAGTGTTTCGAGAATTTCTGCAGCTGCTGCAACAATCCTTCCTACTAACTTCCTCTAGCTGTTTCAACTGGAGTGTCGTAAACAAGAGCTTTCATATGACCCCATTAAGAAAAGTCGCATTCCGTCAGGTCTGGTGAACGTGGAGTCCATGCCCCCTTAACAATCACTCTTTCCAGATGTTTCGTTGAGATGTTCTCTTAAGACTAACAAGTAATGTGGTGGTGGTCTGTCGTGTTGGTATTCTATGTTTTGTCTGGCATACAGGAAAACAGATCCGGGAAAGGTTTCCTGCAGAAATCTACTCGATATTTCTGCTACAACGCTGTTACACATGCATTGAGGCGGGTGGTCGTAGTTTTGAGCATTTTTTGATGTGAATCATTATTTTAAATAAATACTGCAAGCATTCTTTGGGTTCTGTATTATTTAATAACACAGATTCTGCTTATTCAAACACGTTTCTCCGTGTGCAAGGTGGCTACCATAGTGCGGACTGTAATGTGCTATTATCACCTAACCAAAGCGCATGCGCCTATGGGTTTATGAATAAAAAACGTTTATTTTGGCGAGATCTATCATTCCTCAATTTTTGGCACAATAGTTTCGGAACACCCTGTATAGGCACCTAACTAAAAACATGCACCTTTCTGTAAAAGATCTAAACTTAATCAACATTTCTTAAAGCTACCTACCACAAATAAACGCAAAAGCATGAAAATTCATTATTTTCAGGTTGCCTGAGGTAGTATTACAAAACCCCCGTATATCCGAAACTAGTCATAGGATCGGTTTGTACCCATGAGAACTTTTACTCAGGAGGTCGAAATATACAACATACCAAAATTTGGTTAAATTCCGCGTTCAACCAAAATCCCATAAGAAGTGTGCGGGGTCCTTTAGTTTTCTAGGTACCCCACAACACAGTATGTTGATATAATTTGAAGTATATTATACATTCCATAATTATTATTGTAAATCTTTTAAATTTGTAATATATTGAGTATATTGAGTATATTGAGTATTTCTTTAATTAAGAATTTTGTAGCTTACTTAGCAAAAGCCCTCAAATCCTATAAAATGTTCTTTTGAACATGAAGAATCTTTTATCCAAACAAGTGAAAAGTTTCCATGTGATTCTTGGTAGATTGTAGATAATCTGTTTCTGAGCTTGATTATAATAAGTCTTGACAAGTAAATACTTACTTGACATACTTTATACCAGGACGAATTTTGAAACATTTCTTGACATGATGTGGTGAAATAAACCAAAAAGATTCTACGAAACAAGTGTTCGTCATCATTATCATAATCCTTGCCGACATGGCAACCTAGCGGTTACTGCATATTCGCTATGTTTTTTCGTGCGAGCCCTCATGTGACTTATGACAACCCTTCTCTGCCTCAAAAAATCTCTCCTATTGTCATACTATTCGAGTACTTTCGAACACATTTGGGTTCTATATTTAGTGTCATCACTTAGAGCTCTAAATAAAAACAAAATTAAACTCCGCTCTTGTATTAATCTAGAGAATTTTATAAATAGAATCCCGATCCGACATAACAATAATAAATGATGCGCAAAACATGATATCATCGGCATCATTTTAGCAACAGTTCGTGTTATAGTCTGGGAGATAGTGTCGACACATAACTCGATCGGGGTAGGAAAAACGCGGTCGTCTCCCTTGCTATATTAAAAAATTTCAGTGTGCATACTGAGTAAATAAAGATCTCATTAAGTTATTGAGTAAAACAAATTAGTTCAGTTCCAAAATGCTCTGGTGGATTTTTCTATTAACAGCCCTAATAGTGGCTTTATGGTATCGTTATCATTACAAACCATATCGGTACTGGCAAAAATTAGGCGTCAAGCAATACACAACCCCATGGATAATTTTCGGAGATTTTTGGCCAATGTTTTTAGGGAGAATGAACGTAATCGAATTAATGGACAAATTTTATAAAATCGACTCTGATGCTCGGTAAGAATACCCTCAAATTGTAAATCAAATAAATTGAAATATTCTATAGGTATGTGGCCTTATACCATCTATCAATTCCCTCACTTTTAATAAGAGATCCCATATTATTAAAACAATTACTTGTAAAGGATTTTGATCATTTTACTGATCACATTGATATTGCCCCTTCAGAAGACAAGGATGGTTTGTGGACGCAAAATTTGTTTGCGTTGAGAGGTATTATTTGAACTTTCACAAAAAATATAATTTAAATAATACTTTAGGTAAAAAGTGGCGCGATATGCGTTCAGTATTATCAGGCACGTTTACCAGCAGCAAAATAAAATTTATCTATAAACTGATAGAAGAAACATCAGTAAATTTTGTTCAGCATTTTACTAAAACCGACAAGGATTTAATTGAAGTTGAACTGAAAGATGTTTTTACCAAGTTTACGAATGACGTTATTGCCACTACTGCTTTTGGAATTCAAATAAATTCCCTTGAAGAACCCAATAATGAGTTTTACCTTATGGGCAAAGAAGCTACGGATTTTGGAGGAATTGTTGCTGTCACAAAGTTTTTCATGACACTTTTATTTCCTTGGATCTGTAGAGTGAGTACCAGGAAAATAGATTAAAACATTTTCAATGCGGTTTAGGAAATTGCGAAATATTTTCTAAGGTTTATAATGATCAAAACTTGTACAGCTTTTTAACTAATTCCCACTAACGGTGCGCTGACTCTTGGAACCATAGAAAAATACTCTCCGCAACTTCCAAAACCGCTGTACATCCTTCTTAATTTATATTATTTTTCAGCAATTGAAAATTGGCCTCTTCTCCCAACGTGTTTCAGACTTCTTCTACAATTTGATCGATGAAAACCTTAAAGCAAGAGAAGACCAAAAAATCGTACGTCCAGATATGTTGCAAATTTTACTTCAGGCACAAAAAAAAGCTCCTATAGAAGAAACAGATACAATCGACACTGGATTTGCTGTGGTTAAGGACAATATCCCAGAGAATGTCCCATTTCAAATTACCACCAAAGACATAGCTTCACAAGCAGTAACGTTTTTCATAGCTGGATTCGATTCTGTGTCTTCGGCTATGTGTTTTTCTTGTTACGAACTAGCCGTAAATCCTGATATACAAAAAAAATTAAGAGAAGAAATAAAGGAAACCATGGAAAAAAACGACGATAAAATTACTTATGATTCTTTATTAGCAATGAAGTATCTCGATATGGTTGTGACAGAGTCTTTAAGAAAATGGCCCGCAATTCCAGCAACTGATAGATTATGCGTCAAGCCATATACAATAAAAGCCACACAACCTGAAGAAATTGACGTCACTTTACTGCCAGGCCAAAGCATTCTAATACCTTTCGCAAGCACGCAACTTGATCCTCAATATTATCCAAATCCAAAAAAATTCGATCCAGAACGATTTTCTGATGAAAATAAAAGCAAAATTGTACCGTACACTTATATGCCTTTCGGTGTAGGTCCTAGAGGGTGTATAGGTTCCAGATTGGCACTTTTGGAAGTTAAATCTATGATTTTTCATTTGCTGAAAAATTTTGAGGTTGTGCCGACTGCAAAGACACCGGTGCCGTTGAAATTGAGTAAAATGTCCATGGCTGTGACTGTGGATGGTGGATTTCCAATGGCTTTTAAACGTATAGAGATATAGCAAAGTTAAACGATATTTTATGTTTTACTATAATTATTGCTTGTATAGTTATGAGCATGCATATAGATTAGGAATGTTTGTTACTTTGACACTAAAAAATATGTTTAGGATTGGGCTAACACATTTACATTCTTATATCTACCGAAATTGTCTGGACAATGTTCAAACTATCCCAATGTGGACCAATTTTAAAATATCAGAAACGTTTTGTGGTACAACGATGTTTTGACAACTTAAATGTGACCTGTGGTGATTGTGTAATAAAACTACCTTTATTACCTTTTTTTACCAGTTATTCTTTGTATCTCTGTTCTTTGTACAGGTTTTTCAATGTTAATTGTCAGTGTGTGTTGAACTTTTGTCAAGTTGTCACATGATTTCCAATTTTGTAAACACTTTTACTCAATATATTTCTTAATCGATATTCTGCACATCCGTTTTCTTGGCAATCAGACACTCAGAAAATAGTTGCCGCTCTTCGGCCCTAGGTTGGGTTTTGAGCTTTACGATTTTTTCGCTCTTCCCACTGTACTCTGGAGGCGAAGATTATTTTGCTTATGGTTATCCAATTTGCTCCTTATAACTATTGGAGGAGGAAGGGTCTTTTTGCCTATGGCAGCAGCTGCAGGCGCTTTTGGTAACGTGGCTTGTGCCGCTTTGGCCCTTATCTCCTCCCTCGAGTTATCAAGGGCAGTGGCCTCTGGTTGTGTGTCTTTCGGCTCCAAGACCTGGAATTTATTCCTAGTTGGCACGTTAAATAAATTGCCAAAACCTGCCTCCCTAATTACAATTAGGGCTTCGCAAGACCAAGACCAAAGCCAAGACTGGCCAGTCTTGGTCTTGGTCTCGAAAAATAGATGCGGTGTTGGTCTTGGTCTTGGTCTTGATGTTTCAAGACGAAGACAAGACTGGCGCAGTCTTGGTCTTGGTCTTGATAGTCTTGAAAAAAATGTATACCTACCAAATTTTCAAAATATACATAACATATAACGACAGAGCAGAGATAATGGATTCAGGACTTCAGAAATAAAAAATAAAACTCCCTTCCTGAAAAAATTATGCCGACGTTCCGACCATGCATTTGGTCTTCTTCACAGGCTATTTTTACCAGCAAAAGCGTTTCATGTCAAAAAATACCGCATTGAGAGGAACAAATTAGCATCAATTCTTAAATTATTAGAATTTTTATTAACGGAACAGGAAAGTTGACAAACACACCATAAAATTGCAATTCTGTACCGAGGAAAAAAATAAATATTTATTTGAACCATAAGAATAAACCTACCTTACTTACCTGAGCATTCAGGCCAGACAAAGGTTTTGAAGAACCCTCTCGTGAATTTGAAAAATAATAAATTTGATGAATTGATTCAATTGAAAGACATTAAGGGCGGGTATTATAAAACTACTCTGAAAGTTAACTTCTGGAATTACATGTAATTCAAAAAGTTAACTTCAAGTTAACTGTTAAAGCAGTTTTATAATACCCGCCCTAAGAGAAGATTATAGGAATTTGCATATTTTTATAAATATTGAGTCGACTTTTCTTTTCAAGACCAAGACGAAGAGGAGAGTCTCGAGAGAGAGTCTTGGTCTTGGTTTTCATGCAGAGGCAAAATTAGAATTGAAATCGGATTGCATGTTTTTGAATTAAACTCTCGATACGATCCCAAAAAAAGGTGAAACGACCTTGAGACTGAAATCGATTTCAGTACCTGTTTTCATGGCGTTTTCAAAACCAAAACCCTATTCAAAACGATTTCAAAACTCCATGAAAACGTAGTAATATATAGAAAGCTGGAATTTTCGTCGATTTTTATCCTAGTAGAGGACTACAGACCCTGCAAATTTCAACTCATTTGGACTTATAGTTCCTGAGAAAAAATCGCGTCAAGGAATTTGGGGTGAATTTTTGGATTTTTCAATTTTTCAAATTTCCTGAGGTCCTTTTTTTTAAAGATTTCAGTTTCAAATTCCACAATAAATCACTTTATGGAGTTTCTGGTGTCCCAAATGATCATCTAGAGTCGAAATCTCCACAAAAAAAAATCTGAAATTTGATCATTTTGGAAGACCCCCAAGAAATTTTCATTAGTTTCCCAGGAACATACGTACCAGAATGTGAAGTAGTGCATTTTCTTTAATTCAGTTTTTGAAAATTGATTCTCATGAATTTATCTTGTTGCTGTTTTCCACTGAATGAATTCGAGGTTTCAGTATAATGAGTCTTAACTTCCAAAAAAATATCAAAATAGAAGATCGAAAGTTGATTCAACAAATTATACCGAACATCAATGATACCATGAAAATGTAATGTTTGGCTGGGATGATTGATGAGCCAGTATTTATTTTTTTCCAGCAATTCTTGAGAGATCTTTTCACCTTCATTTCTTCAGATATAACTTCCCTTGCTCTATTATTTCCAAATAATATGGATTCCGATTCACATAAAAAATAGAATGATGAATCGGTTTCGCAAGTAGTTTCGTTTAATGTCCATCAAGATGATAATATCTGAGTCCCTGAGGCCACCAACGTTTTCGAAAAAGAGTGGCTTCAGAAAATTCAATAAAAACAAATACAAAAAGATATTGACAGAATTGCTAGAATGTTCTTCTAGACAAGAAGTAACTAAATTGCAGAATGGAAACAGTCCGAAAGGAAATCAAAGAAAAAGATTGAAATTATCAAAGGCAAAATAAGGACAATCAAAGGCGAAATATGGACGATCAAAATTGAAATACAGACGATCAATGGTGAAATAGGAATAATCAAGTTTAGAATATGGACGATCAAATCTCGTCCGATGCTTGAACAGAACGGATGTTTTGCTAATAAAATAAATAATTTTTCTTGCTTCATTCAGTGTGAGAAATCGAGAGTTTTTTGTTGGCACAATCCGAACACAGATATGCCTAGAATTTCCAGCGTCAAATCAAACGTCGGGTAAGTGCTGGATATAGCAATACCCAGTATTTCTTCAGGGCTTTCGCTAGAGCCGTCTAGGCCAAAAATCAATTCAGGAATTTTTTGCTATCAAATTCCTGAAATTCTATAAATTGCCGCAGTAGAAATAAGTAAGGGTAACGGACAACATCAGTTAGGGCCCTGAAAAAAGTAAGGGCACACAAACACTAGCAACCTAAGTACCAACCAAAATCTCTCGCAAAGTAAGGGGGCGTCGATCCGTCAGGGCACGATATCTCCTTACTAAAGGGACGTGTGCTTAGATCGATTCTGAAAATCTTGGTCTTGGTCTTGCTACCAAGACCAAGACAAGACCAAGACTAGTCTTGTGGTCTCGCGAAGCCCTAATTACAATCGGGGAGGCAGGTCTGCCCTCGCTTGTTGTGGGTGTGGTCGGTCTTTCATTTAGGCCCTTTTTGTCCTAAGAGTCCTCTGGGCTAGGCATTTTTCTTTTAATTTGTGGCGGTTTGAAATAAATGTGAGCTGATCTGACGTGGGCACTTCTTACAACGCTGCACCGTTTCAATAAGACGTGACCTTACTTTCTGCACACTTCGTTTTGGTGTGCCTGCCATCGAGGTGGTGGAGCTGACACTTTCGTTATCTGTGTCTGCAGCCTCAGCGTTGTATCCGGCGGCTTCGTCGCCACTCATGTTTTAGAAGACGTCCCCTACATGCGGGGAGACGTCCCCTCACTTTGGTAGAATCTGCTCTTCGTTCGTCGTCCTCTTACCTTCGCGAAGCGATATTGTTAGAGAAAACGTGCCCTCACTTTCTGACGTCCCCTTACTTTTCGTCGGAATAAGTTGGTAAATCTGCTCTTCGCTCGTCGTCCCCTATTTTTGCGAAGCGGTACTGTGAGAGCAGACGTCCCCTCACTTGTTCTTCTTTGCAGCCTGGTTTTAGATCCCCTAACTTTTGTTGGTTGGGAATTTTCAGAATCGATCTAAGCACACGTCCCTTTAGTAAGGAGATATCGTGCCCTGACGGATCGACGCCCCCTTACTTTGCGAGAGATTTTGGTTGGTACTTAGGTTGCTAGTGTTTGTGTGCCCTTACTTTTTTCAGGGCCCTAACTGATGTTGTCCGTTACCCTTACTTATTTCTACTGCGGCAATTTATAGAATTTCAGGAATTTGATAGCAAAAAATTCCTGAATTGATTTTTGGCCTAGACGGCTCTAGCGAAAGCCCTGAAGAAATACTGGGTATTGCTATATCCAGCACTTACCCGACGTTTGATTTGACGCTGGAAATTCTAGGCATATCTGTGTTCGGATTGTGCCAACAAAAAACTCTCGATTTCTCACACTGAATGAAGCAAGAAAAATTATTTATTTTATTAGCAAAACATCCGTTCTGTTCAAGCATCGGACGAGATTTGATCGTCCATATTCTAAACTTGATTATTCCTATTTCACCATTGATCGTCTGTATTTCAATTTTGATCGTCCATATTTCGCCTTTGATTGTCCTTATTTTGCCTTTGATAATTTCAATCTTTTTCTTTGATTTCCTTTCGGACTGTTTCCATTCTGCAATTTAGTTACTTCTTGTCTAGAAGAACATTCTAGCAATTCTGTCAATATCTTTTTGTATTTGTTTTTATTGAATTTTCTGAAGCCACTCTTTTTCGAAAACGTTGGTGGCCTCAGGGACTCAGATATTATCATCTTGATGGACATTAAACGAAACTACTTGCGAAACCGATTCATCATTCTATTTTTTATGTGAATCGGAATCCATATTATTTGGAAATAATAGAGCAAGGGAAGTTATATCTGAAGAAATGAAGGTGAAAAGATCTCTCAAGAATTGCTGGAAAAAAATAAATACTGGCTCATCAATCATCCCAGCCAAACATTACATTTTCATGGTATCATTGATGTTCGGTATAATTTGTTGAATCAACTTTCGATCTTCTATTTTGATATTTTTTTGGAAGTTAAGACTCATTATACTGAAACCTCGAATTCATTCAGTGGAAAACAGCAACAAGATAAATTCATGAGAATCAATTTTCAAAAACTGAATTAAAGAAAATGCACTACTTCACATTCTGGTACGTATGTTCCTGGGAAACTAATGAAAATTTCTTGGGGGTCTTCCAAAATGATCAAATTTCAGATTTTTTTTTGTGGAGATTTCGACTCTAGATGATCATTTGGGACACCAGAAACTCCATAAAGTGATTTATTGTGGAATTTGAAACTGAAATCTTTAAAAAAAAGGACCTCAGGAAATTTGAAAAATTGAAAAATCCAAAAATTCACCCCAAATTCCTTGACGCGATTTTTTCTCAGGAACTATAAGTCCAAATGAGTTGAAATTTGCAGGGTCTGTAGTCCTCTACTAGGATAAAAATCGACGAAAATTCCAGCTTTCTATATATTACTACGTTTTCATGGAGTTTTGAAATCGTTTTGAATAGGGTTTTGGTTTTGAAAACGCCATGAAAACAGGTACTGAAATCGATTTCAGTCTCAAGGTCGTTTCACCTTTTTTTGGGATCGTATCGAGAGTTTAATTCAAAAACATGCAATCCGATTTCAATTCTAATTTTGCCTCTGCATGAAAACGGAGAAGAGGATTGGATTCAAAACGATTTGAAAACTCCATGAAAACGTAGTATATAATAGAAAAAAAGTTATGATTTTTCAAAATTTTCAAAAATACAAAACATAAGGGAGCCTTCGTGGGTACTAAAATGATAGAATTTCAAATTTTTGTATGTTGAAATTTTGTGTCTAAATGATCATTCAGGACTCCCCCAACTCCATACACTAAATTATTCTAAGATTTGAAGCTGAAATCTATGACACTTCTTATGGCATTTTTTACCGCGGTCAAATTAAACCAAATTTTAGTATGTTAGGTATAGATCTCACCTTTCTGATCAATAACTACCATGGGCACAACTTATTCCTATGACTAGTTTTTGAGATACAGGTAGTTTAATGTCCAAGAAATGTACGCATTTTATATGCATTTACACTTGGCCAAACATAAAACTGGTACGCATTTTCCTATTGTGTTGTATTGTGTGAATCGACCTTTTTTATCACCTCAACAATGACAAAAAGAGTCAAGTCAGTATCATATTTAAACCAATCATAACATAAAAACATGTTGTGTTCACTTTTTTCAGCTTTGACGTTGACAAAAACTGTCTGAACTAAGTTTTTTAGAACAGACTTTTTGTTGTTAAGCCTGACTCACACTAGGCAAATTTAAAATATATATATTGCCTGTACCAGTTTTATGTCTGGCCAAGTGTACCATCGTCACCAAAAGTATCTGGGACACAAATAATGCCTAATAATCTCCAGGACTAATTCTACTGTCATTCATTTCAATGCATTCAATTTAGTTTGACAAATTTTTGACAACAAAAATTCATATAATAGGACAAGAGCTAATGTGATGCTGTCCCAGTTACTTTTGGTGACGATGGTACATCCTCCTGTCACCTCCTGACTCCTGTCATCTGAGCGTGACGATACCTGTCCATCCTGGTAAGTGACAGGTAAATGTAAATGCATTTAAAATGTGTACATTTCTTGGAGATTCAACTACCTGTATCTCAAAAACTAGTCATAGGATTGAGTTATTGATCAGAAAGGTGAGATCTATAACATATACTAAAATTTGGTTATATTTGACTAGTACGGTCAGAAATCCCATAAGAAGGTGTGCGGGGTCCTTTACCCCAAATTGCTTAACGCGATTTTATTTCTGAAACTATAAGTCCAAATGAGCTGTAATTTCAGCTTTTTATCTATAATAGGAAAAAAGTTATGATTATTCAAAGTTTTCAAAAATTCATATCCAAAGAGGGAGGTCTTGCAATAAGTAATTTATAAAAATATTATCTATATATACCTACCTACCAAAAAGTAGCAAATTAACAAGTTTTTTGTATTTTTCAACAATAATTTTTGATGGTACCTACCACCTACCCAAAAACCGGACCACAACATGAAAATAAATGGGAGATTCTTTATAAATTATTAATAATTTGTGTTTTTTTTTCCGTCTCCTCAATCAGGTCATAATTTGTCATTATTGAGAATCACCCAAATTTCGTCTTAAAACAAAAATCTAACTCGATTGACAAGGTGACGAACGGAAATTGTCCCAGCAAAAGAAAACCATCATCAGCAGGTAACTACCGACTTCCACCACGTCCGTCCGATTTGTTCTTCGTTTCTGCTTTTTGAACTCGCTTCTTCGTTAAACAGTTAAGTCCAGCAAAGCCAAAAGAGTGGAAGGTTTACTTCGCGAGAAGTTCAATGAAATTGTGTGTGGTGCGGCATTAATTGCTTTCTTCGTAAATATTTATAGACATTAAAAACAATGCATTTTGGAATTAATTATGTTTTGTGGCTCATTATTGGACTATCGTTTATTAAATTTGGAAACGTAAGTTTGTTTTTGGTTAAATTGTTTATTATTAACAGGACAAACTGGTTCTTTTGAAATTGATATAAAAACAACTTATCATTAAGAGTTTTTAGATTTGATATTAATTTAATATTTTTTCTTTTATTGTTTCTTTATTCAAAAAATTAACAAAGAATTTCTTGTGGGACTTGACACAATTTTTGCTTATTGAATGTGTCATTTAATTTAAATGTATATTCGATTAATTTAACGGTATTAAATATTTACATATTGTACTGTAAAAGTAAAATTTCACACTACATTTTTATACTCATCGCCACCTCATTAATTATTATTACCCGATAAAATAATTATAAATGTATTAGTTTCTAAAAATACTAGACAAAAAAACTTAATGCAATTCTTGCAAAAAAATTTAGTAGTTATTACAAAAGTAGGTATAGAAATTCATACTCTAAATAAAATCGAGATTAAGGTTATTGCCAAACCAACAAATCACCCAATTTCCGTTTATAGTCTATTTCATTGCAAATGATAGCTGAAATCGAGGTTAAGGACCATAAAACCATTGTAAACCATAGGGTTTACAGTGACTTTATGTTCCTAAACCTCGATTTGAACTATCAACTGCGATGAAATAGACTCTAGCATAAACCATTTTTAGGCTTACACAAATCCTCTTACAAAAATATTCGGCGGAGATTCTGCAAAGAACCATCCACCTCCAAGACATGATACTCCAGCCTCCTCATGTCATTGCAGTAAGTATAAATTTTAATTTTTGTTTAAATTTGTAACAAGATTTTTGCTAGCTTGTGGGGAAAGGAACGAAAACAGCAGGATAGTAGGCGGAAAACCAGCCCTAGAAAACGAATTTCCTTGGATGGCCAGATTGTCCTATTTCAATAGATTTTATTGTGGAGGGATGTTGATTAACGACAGATATGTTTTGACTGCTGCTCACTGTGTTAAAGGGTAAAGTTTTTAGTAGGGAGATTTTGAGTTGCTAATGTTTCAGATATGCGTTTATTTGGAGATTGCGTAGATTAAAATGAGATCTCTGAACAAACGAGCGTTGTTTTGTTTGTAGAACAAAAAGCAAATCTAGAATTTCCAAGATATTTTCAGTAAGCAAACACAATCATGATGAGAAAGATATCTGGGAAATTATGAAAAATTAATTTTTTTATAGAGGAATCTATTTGATTTGGCCATTCTATTCTCATTGAAATAGCTAATTCAGAGTCTACACAAAGTTCCTGAGTACTTTAGTTTATGTTGTGTAGGTATTCAGACATAACAAGACGATTTTAATTAACTTATATTTACTTAACTTTGATAAGAAAGCAAAATATAAATCAATAACAACGTGCTTGCCTAGCCTGAGGTTGGTTGGTTGGTTGCAAGAGGGATTTAGGCACTATGACCTGTTGGCTTATTGTGCACCCCAATTTCCTTTTTGCCCTACCAAGAGTCGTGTTTTCTATGTCAGTTCTGTCGAAGATAGTCCGGAATAGGATTATCTTTGGTTCTGTCTTTCAGCCGCTTTGTCCATCGCAGCAAATGAGGCGTTATCAAAGGACCCTTGAAATTCGATGAATGCACACAGAGCGATCTCTTTAAGATGAATGGATCTTTCAGTCCTGAAGACGAAACTGTGCAGTGCATTTTCGCACGACTTGTCTGCTTGATAGGCGTGTTATGTTCGTGGAAGGGTTTCTCCTTGAGTCTCTTATGTGCCTATCAATTATTTTTTCTAGCGTTTTTAGATATCGGGTCTTCAAAAAAAAAAACCAATCAAAGATTGCTTTGAATGCGAAAACGTATGTCGTATTATTGTTTCTTTATTGGCCAGGATTTTTGACATAACATTTTGACATTAAAGTTCATTGACAAAATTAAAGGAAAATAGTGCTAAGACATACGTTTAAAAAACCATAGCAATCTTTGATTGGTTTTTTTTTGAAGACCCGATATAAAGAAGTTAGGCTGATTGGACGATATGCCTTCTGTATAGTTTGCGCGTCTGATTTTTGAAATAAAGACCGCGTTTGCCGTACTCTATGCCCATAATACGTAACTCTACGCAACGCACGATTGGTATACTCTACAGAAGCTTGGAACAGTTCCAAACCATGCTGCAACAGAGCCGGAAAAACCCCCATCTGGTCCCGGAAATTTGAAAGGTTCAAATGTGCCGATGGCCCATTTGATCTTCTCATTTCCTTGGTTGCAACTATCCAGTCAGGTTTCCTAGGCCTATGTTCTTGCTCAGGTGACAGTTGTTCGTCCTGCTGACTGATTCTTGAATCTGGAATGTGTGTTTGAGAGTTGCTTTTCCAGAAGTCTTATTCTCTCCCGTCGGGCGTTTCAACGTCCCTATGATGTTACACGTGCCGGTTGCGAGTATTTTATAAAGGCGTGCAGTTGCGAAGTGTTCTCAACTTGTACGCAGAAGTTCTACCATGAGTCTCGCTTGGCATTTCTTAGGAGTTTGTTGTAATCAATAAGGGTTTGAATGTATTGTGCCCAGTCTCCCGTTATCTTTGCCCTATTAAAGAGTTTCCTGGATTTCTTTCTTAGATTGCCCAAGTTACGGTTCCACCAGGGGACCTCCCTTTTTTTTCCTTCCACCTTGGAAGTGCAGTTATCTTCGAACGCTGTGATAATCGCATCATGGAGCTGATCCACTGACAGGTCAATGTCTATGGCTCGCTGTATGTTGGTTTTCACAGAAATTAGACTTTACTTCAGTTGACTCCTGTATGATTCCCAATTTGTCTTGCGCAGGTTTCGATAAGTCGTTAGTTCCTTTACCGATACAGACAGTTCATCTGATACTCATCTCAACCTCGTTTACCATGTGAAATGTGACCAAGTTACTATCAATGACTTCTCTCTGCCTCTCGGTAAGGAAAGTCGGTTCATTTTCCTGATTTATATGTAGTAAGTTGTTGTTACTTACCAAATATTCAAGCAGAGATGTTCCTCTTGGGTTGTCGTCTGAACTATGCCTCATACCATATTGTGGGAGTTTACAGGCAGATGTAACTTATGATGCTGTCTCTAAGTAACTAACTCAAACTAGAGCTGGAAAATGCTAAAGGCGCTAGGGTTAGTTTGGGATAGTTTGTTAGAGACAGAATCAAATAACTTGGCACGTGGCAAATAGCAAAATCTTATTAATTTTTAATTATTTTGCTATTTGCCATGGCATTCAGTAAATGACTAGGCAAATGACTATATGCCTGGAATTGCTCTATACCTACGACATATTATTGTAAGGTCTCTTTTATTTTATGTTCGTTGAGCCCTGGTCTCCTTAGAGCAGGTAAAGCACTGACCTACGGACATAAGGAGTAGGAACGCGCCATTCTGCTATGAATCTGAAGTGAAGCAAGTTTTAAGTAGGTGTTTGTGCACCATATGGCAGATAAAGCAATGAATTAGCTATACCGCCATTATTTTGGATCTCAAAATACCTGAAAAAAAAAACGGCTTCATTTTCCCACTCCATGTTCCTACTCCTCTCACCTAGGAACTTACCTGCTCTAAGCTGGTCTCAATAAAAACACTACCTTTGAGAAAAAGCTTGTCTATTAAGGTTGATGAAAAAGAAAGGTTACGTAGTCCAAGTAATTGTATTTTTTTGAAGGTCCTAACATTCGGCCATCCTTCTCTTTTTTGTCCTTGAAAATAGAACAATAATCGTCTAAATATTTCGGTTTTCTTCTTAGTCGTTTCTCTTCATCGGGTTTTTGTCTATGTTCTGGATTTATTGTCGCAATCGGGCGTCTGGTCTCATCGTCACTATAGTTCACCATTATGTGATTCTCAGACTCTTCTTGTTCTAGTTCATCATAAGGTCCTTTATATTTCTTCAATAGTTTCTTTGATTCGCCTGTAAGTTGATTTGATTCGTCTCTTTTGCTCTTTCTTTATTAAATCACTCTCTCTGCTTCTCTTGATATTTTCATATCTTTTCTAATGCACCTTTGTCTTCGTCCTTCTATGTCTCCAACTAAGTCTCGATACTCTAGCTCATCTTGTATGATGTCACTATCTGTATGTCTTGGTTTGAAGCTGAATAATGACTCAAAAGGTGTTCTTTCTGTGCAAAGTAATATTAATTCCATACTGAATTCTACCAACATATTTATCCCAATCTTCACCATTTCGACTTCTGCACATACTTGCTAGTGCTGGAATCAAATATCTATTTACTGGTTCTATTTGTCCGTTTGCTCGCGGAGTCGACGTAGCATTTAAAATATGATTAATCATTTTTGTCTCTGCATTAGTTCCAGTAAATGAAGTACTTCTAGCTGTAATAATTCTGAGTGGTGGACCTACTTTATTCATTATTTCTTCTGAGACTTTTGCAGAAATCACTGATTTTATATTTCTGACTGGTTTTAATACCACAAACTTCGTGAATCCCTCTATTATCTAGTAAGTATTGTTTTCCTTTTGTACTCTTGAAAAAGGGCCCCAGGTTCATCCAATGATCTATTTGCCTGGAGGTTTTCCACTAAGTATTTTATTCCAAAGTTTTTGGAAAAGCGGGGTGTCCTTAATCATCGTGATATTTCTTCATGATTCTCCATCTAATTTTACTAGGTATAACCCATAATAAATCTTCATTTTGTTTCTTGAATAATAATCGACCATGTCTAATCTCATACTCATTTCCTATTCTCTTCTCCTCTTTAGTAGTCTTCAACTTTTTGGCTAATAGGTACCTCCATAATATTCTTAAGTTTTGGATCTTCTTTCTGATATAAATATAACCGATCGTCTTCTTCAAAGGTGTTCATCATGTCTTGTAAACCACCTGAGCAATCGTTTCTTGTCTCACCAATCGGATTGCATGACAACGCATCTACATCCGCCATTCTTATCGCAGGTCTAGGTATTACGTCAAATCTATACTCTTGCATTTTCAGCCACCAACGACCTATTCTTGGAATTAAATGCTTTTTAGTGAATGAACTTCTCAATGCATTGCAATCGGTGATATACAAACAAATTCTATGCCGATGAGGTATACTCTCCAATACCCAAACTAAGCACAAAATTTTCAATTCTGATTAGTGATATTTATATTTTTCGGGTGTAGTCTGTCTACTCACATATACTACAAGGTGCATCAGATTATCTGCCTGTCCCTGAAGAATCATACCGCCAAATCCAATTAGGCTGGCATCTGTGTGTACCTCTGTATGTGTACACTCCGGGCTTATATAGTGCCAGAACATCAGTCTCATTTAGCTCTTTCTTCAACTGGTCGAATGCCTGCTGCTGCTCTGTGTCCCATTTAAATTCTATACATCTTTAGATTAGAAATGTGTTAATAAGGGTCCTTTATCGCGTAATTACGGATAAATCGACGGAAATATGAGGAAAGTCCTAAGAATTGTCTGACATTAGTCACACTTTTAGGTTCAGGAAAGTCTAAAACACCCTTCAATTTTCTCCTACCTGGTTTAATCCCTCCCGTTTGACGATAATTCAAAACCCAAGTAATCTATAGTCTCGAAAAGGAAATAACATTTCCTTAAATTTAACTTAAAGTTCGCACACCTCAAAAGTTTGAGTACCTATTTCCTCTAAATTGTCATCTTCTTGATCCTTGATCAACTGATATATCGCAAAGGTCCGAGTACACTATTTATTACTTGTTGAAACACTGCCAGTCCATTACCAACCCCGAAGGGCATGCGCGTAAATTCAAACATACCGTCTGGCGTCACGAACGCGATTTTACGCTGTGTGTCTTTTTCAAACGGAATTTGATAGTAACCACTTCGCAAGTTTATAATGTCGTAAAATATTTCATACCGAATAAACGATCTAGTTCATTGATGAATGGAAGCGGGTAATTTATCTTTTTAGTGACCCTATTTAAACCGCGGTAGTCGATACAGATTCTTTCATTACATGTCTTCAGAGCTGGGAGAAACGACAAAAAATAG